ACTCTCTCTGATTAATGAGCACTCCGCTCCAGAATCAAAACAAATTGGATAGACCTCACCTCGTTGCGTCATACTTCCTTTGGGCTCTGCCGCAAAGCACTATTTACACTCTTTTGTTGCGCAACTGCATGTTTAGCTGCAGTCACCGTTGGTTAGCGAAATGTCCAAGCTGGCCACACCGCAAACAGGACACACTCAGCTTTTGTCTCTGTTGCTTCATCACCCCACCTTGTCGCATCTTGGATCTGCAGTCCGCTATTTTATGTCCGGGCTTTTTGCAAAAATGATACACCAACGCAGCCATCTTCGCTTTTTTATTGTTAGGTCCAGCATACTCAGCAAGCCCAGTGCTGCGTTTCTTATCGAATGTAAACGCCTTCAACTCCAACTGTAGCTTGCTTCTAGTTTTCGCATTCGTGGTAAAAATAATTCGTTGCAAGCGACTGTCAAAATATGCCATATCTGCAAGTACATTAGACAAAGCAAAGGATAGGAAATCTGTATTAACCACTGCGAAGCACTGCCCTCCATGCAATTGCTCAATGCTATAATAAGGCTACTTCCTTCAAGCGGCTGCTCCGATAAAATTATATCAGCGGTCATACACCATTGCGACGCGTCGACACCCATGACATCAGGGTTAAAGTTTGGCAACATAACAGTAGTGTTCTGTCGCTGTGCACGTGTCGATGCCTGCATAGTTTATGCGAGCTCAATCAAATTTCGATTTTGCATCTCGAGGATTACGCGCCACTGCTCTTCAGAAAATGTAGGTGTAGGTACAGGTCCCGCTTCTGATGACGAGTTTCCACAATTTTCCCTGTCGTCGATCTTGTATTTTGTACTTTAAAACTGAACTTGGCGCAGACAACGAATTCCCAAGTGTATGCTCCCAGTAGCGAAAATGGTCACCGGTGAAATCGTCACTAATGAGGATTTTGTGATATCGTCGCACTTGCTGTGAATCCTAAACGACATATAGCTGACAATGACACCGGTGACAATGTCATGCAGGTGTACTCCTATCAAAGACTTATAACAGACAATGTCTTGCAGCCGTCACTTATAAAAAGTACATTGGAAGATACTGTCGCTTGAATGTCATTAATGATCACGGCATGACTTGGTCATGCAGATGACATCAACGACGAGATTACCATATATATGAAAGTCATGAACGACTTCCATACAAACGGAACCCAAAGTCATTTAAGATGTAACTTTTCCGTACAAGACTCTTAAGTGACTAATGCATGACGTTCGCTACGGGGCTGTATCTTCCACGATCAATCTCCGATACCCTTTTGTTTAGTCGAGCATCCTTTTCGTCGTCGAAATCGCATACAGACATATGACATATTTCATAGGTGAACATTCCCCTTTCTCTCACACTCAGCAACACTCAGGACTAAGTTCAGCCACAGCTCACTTACGTCTCGCTTATCAAATCTTGTTAGCGAGTATATGTAGTGTACTCTCACACTAACATGAGAACGGCAATACAATATAATTTGGAGGTAATGATATAGAACCAGAGCACATACGATCGGAAACGACAAGAGTGAAACAACACCCCAACAAGACGAGTTCACACAGGCATGCGCAGCCATCAAAGAACATACACAGAGAATAATTTGATATTACGACATATGTATGTAAAGCGCCACGGAGACAATCAAATAAATACGTCAAGCATTGCTTATGTGTGAGTGAGGTTCTCTCGTGTCCTGCAAACGTTCAAATAAACGCGTCAATCACCACTTTGTATTGTGAATACGCAGTGTTCGTTTGTTAGCACGATGTCATCGGATGAGTATTTGTTGTTAATTATTAGGTTTGTTCCACACATGGTACAATAAACACAGGTAGAAGCCAAATTGACATCAAACCTACAAAAGTCAAAGTTTTCGGGAGAGTAAAAATAAAAATGAGCGTGTGTAAGGAAATAAAAAATTACATTTCGCTTGTTTGAGTAAATTTGAAGTTTTGTTTTTATTTTTTTTCTTTAGTTAAAATTTGTTAATTTGTATGTTGTTTTCTGTTTTTAATTTATGAGTTGGAGGGTCTTTCCGGCATAAGGGTCATAGGAACAGCACTTGGTATCAAAAGTGCCTTTCCTGTACCTCCCGGTGCATTTATGAAATCTGCTGCTTTAAAATGTTTAACGCACAGCAAGGCATTTCGCTGCAGTTCTGCCCCAAAGCTGTTTTCGCAACGCTCTTTACGCGAAGGACATTGAGGCACGTTAAAAACAATTAGTGGTATCTGCTTCATATTTAAAACCACATAAAAAACAACGCTTCAGGTGTTGCATTTTTAACACATACACTAAGTATAAACCGCACAACACTACTCAAATTCACATGTTAATTAAACTTTGTTATTAACGAACATTAAAAAAAAACAACGATATGACATTCAAAGCGTAACGAAATATAGGAAATAAAAGAAAAACAAGTTGAAGTTTAAGGGTTTGGTTCTCATGAGAGCAACGTCATTTTGGCTTCTACCTGTATTAATGTGCCTTGTGTTCCACAAGCTACTTGTAGAAAAACTCGAGCAAAGTTCAAACTGTCAGCGTATGTCAAATAAACTCTAAAACTTACTTGTGAAACGCGTATGTGTAACTCGAAGTGACTTCGATTAGCTTGTGGAACAAACCTATTATATCATTTATGGCATAATTTTATATGTTATATGTTATAAATTAATATTTATTATATTTCATAAAGCTAGTAAGTATTGATATGAGCAATTTCTTTTCCTTGTCCGCGCGCTTTCTCACCACGATGCCCAGAAGGCAAGTGAGCTTGTTTTTTGTCAAGCATAACGCGAGACGGTCAAATAAACAGTCATCACATTCAAATATCAAAATTTTATGAGTTTCATCAAGCATAGCCGACAACGAGTCGGTGTAGTATCCCTGCAGGGAAAGCTACCAGTTGTGAACTAGAATTCTGCCGGTTTGCGTTTCAGCCGAACTAGTTCACGTTCTATCCTTCTTCAATGTTAGCGACTGGTATTTTTAACATTGCGATGTCCTACGAGATGTAAATTGTCAGGCTATGCATCAGCATCTACTAGTATAAGTACTAGTAGCATCATACCAGTTGATGAGATAGTCTGCCAATTCATGCCCCCTGAAAGGCATAAGTGTGCCTTTTTGCTCGCGACGCTCCAGCAGTCACAATGGCGGACAGAGCAAAGCACTCGCGTGGTAAGCCTGAGGTCCCAGGTTCAATTCCTGGCGCAGGGAAAATTTTTTTATTTTCTTTTTTTTATTTTATTTTTATTTTTTATAAATTTAATTTTTTGTTTAGGCTGTTTATTGTATTAGATTTTCAAATTTGTATTTATTTATAAATTGAATAAATTATTTTTACTTACATTTATTTAACTTTAAAAATCTTAACCACTTCCAAGCGGCCTCGAACCTGCGATTTCAGAACCAGAACCAGTAGTCTTCACGTGACGCCACAGCCGACATTTGTAAGAAAAGCAATTAATTGCGTTTTATTTTTGGCTTTGGCAATTCAAAGGCAGATGTCGCTGATCGCCTAAGTTCTTCGAAATTGTCGAACTGGTTGGCACATACTAGTTAACGAACTAGTATTTTTTCTAACTGGTTTGCTTTTTACTGCAGGGATACGTGTAGCCGACAAAAGCCGACGACACCAATATACTTAAAGCCTTGATAAAGATATTTGATCATCTCCGTGGCGCTTAAGTGTTTGAAATTTTATATTAAAATTCGAATAAGAAATGTAAACAAACGTCAAAAAATAGAGAGAGGTGCCTACTTAATTTAGAAATTCCTCGGGTTACTTAACTCTGGGCCAGTTTTCAATGCTGCAAGGCATTGTCTTATTTAGGAATATAGCAATTTAACTCTGAGCTATTTATATGTTTAACTTTGGAAGTTCTGCAAGTGAGCCTAAATATTTAACGATTTAACTCTAATTTTACTCCTAACCATTGATTGCGCAAGCAAATTTACCAATTTAACTGGTAAACTTCGAGTTACGTAGATAACCTGCTGTTCTGCAAGTAGGTCTTAG